GTCGCCCGACCCCGTTTCGACCACAACAAGAAGGTGGTTTTCGACGGCAAGATTGGCGTTTGGCCATTTGTCGAGGTCGTGGCAGCCCAGCGAACAAGCAAGAATCGGCCGAAGGGGACCCTCATTCAAGTCCCCAAAAATGTCAACGGAGATGTTTACGAATCGATGGTTCTCGGCAAAGTTGTGCCTGCCATTTTGGAGTGTTTCCCAGTAGGTGACCTTGAACGTGGCGTGTTTATTCAACACGACAATGCCAGTCCCCATCGTCGAGTTACCACTGCTTTGCTGCGAAAAGAAGGCGTGTCGAATGTTACCATGTTGAACCAACCGCCAAACAGCCCGGACTTTAATATAACAAGTTGAGTCAGTGCTTGTATAAAAATACAATAAAAAATTTCCGAGTCAATATGTCTTGCTGGAGGTCAATACAAATACCAAGACGTTTTAAAACAAGTCGGTATACTTTAATCAAGTCAAACAAGTGGACAGTCATACGAGAACAGAGTAGTACATCTTACTGTCAAGTGTAATACGAGTCGGACACCCAATTCGAGTCGGACACTTGTATAAATTAATAAAACATCAACCCAGTGAAGGAGCAATTTTAGCAGGTTTAACTACGCGCCAGAATATACTCAAATGATTGATAAATACTCTTAAATATAATACATATATTATTTTATAGAGGTTTTTCCGCGCGCAAATGTTGGAGGAGCATCAGCCATCGAGCACAGCATATTCTTGATTTTACCATGGTCACCAACAATCCCCAGCAAACGCTACCACAAAAGGGGCGACCGGTGTGCAAGTACGGCCCCAGGAGTAGCAGTAGAAGAACACAGTATTTTATTCGCGTACAGTGAGAGACTAACGATCATAAATTTTTATGAATCCTATGGCATGCCAGCTACGCTCGACGCCTTCTACAGCCACTTGACGTCCAACGCCCGCGAAACAGCAAGGAAGGTGTACTCTTGGGTGGCCAACCGCATACATATCCAAAGGATGGGATCCAGTCCAACAACAGCAAAGTTGTGCTGTTGGAATGAGGACGACCCTCACGTTTCAGGCCGAGGAGCAACTGCTGCATTGGGTCATTGACATGCGAAAGGATGGGGTCCCTGTGACGCACAGCATGCTCCGCATCATGGTGTTGGAAGCTGCAATCGACTTGGGCCATGAAGACCACGAGGTTTTGGCAAAAAAAAAACGGATCAATGGCTACAAGCGTCGGCATGGACAGTCCCAGGATACTTCTGAAGACGGTCCGGCGGTGCTTGAATCCTTCACGCAGCACGTTCAAACCATCGTGCTGGAACAACATCGACTGCGTCTACTACGCCGACCAAACGAGGGTGAACTATGAGTACCTTCCAACGAAGACCTTGAATCCCACCGGCGACAAGACGATCTGGGTCAAGTGCGTCGGAAAAACGAAGGAGCGTGTGACCGCCATGCTCTTGGCGGACTGAACAGGCGTAAATAACCCGCTGGTTTTTGGTGCTGTGTAGCACGAAGTTAAAGGTGAAGAGCACCGTTCAAGAAAATTTGATCGAGCGGCAGGGCTTCGGGAAGACGGTGTGGAAGTGCATGCTCCAATGCAAGATCACAACGATTGTCAAATCTACTGAAAACCAACGGTGTGGTGGAACGCGAATATATCGGTGGAGTTTTGAAGTAACGTTACAATTTTGCGGCTCAGCCTGATCGCGCGACCAAGAAGGTGCTGCTGTTGTGGGATGACTTCTGCGCACTTGTAAAGGCAGATCAGTGTCCGATTCGTATTACACTTGACGGTAGTTAAATCCAGTGCAAACCAAAACACTGCATTCCAGCTAGGGGTTAAGAGTATTTCAATGGTTAGCGATATGTAGCAAACTACTGGAGATAGTGTAAATGACATCCACCCTGTCGATTATAAGTGGTTTGTACCTGATCCCAGTGAGGGGAAGGAAAATAGCTCAGTGGTAGAGGATCGGTTTCCTAGCTCAAAAGTCGTCGGTTCGATCCCCGGCTTCCCCGGATTATTTCCGCAAGGATTTATCAATCCCTCCTGGGGAATCCGGAGAGCAAGGGCTGCATACGAAGTCGAGGACCGAACTTCGAAGAAGCTCGTTCGAAGCACGAGGTATGAAGCGTTGCGCGAAGTAAAAACCGAAGATTACACACCGCCCCTGGTCGAGCAGGTGCGCTACAATTGGCGAAGCGGTTCCACAACATATAGTTCTAGTATCAGTCTTCGCGGAGGAATGTCTTGCGTCGAGTTTAACGTCATAATGAACCCAAGAGTTGTCGCGCATGGTGAAGACAGCCAACCCAAAATTTCGTGAATTTTAGACCATTTTAGCGGGATTTATGGTTGATTATTGAATATTGAGCTGGGACAAAGTCTCAGTCAGTTGAGGGGGTTGAAGGTCTTGCTGGCCAATGACAATGTCAGAGTAGTCGAAGAGCCTGGTGGCGATATCCCAAAATTTCGAAGTTGTTTGAGCAGTACAGCAATAGTTATGGCTGTATTTGAAAATATAGCTGGGGTAGCCAGCCACGCATTTGATGAGGAGATTGTATGTGTGACCGGGTAGTTAATAAACCCGCCATATTGCCCAGGGTAGTCAAATTTAGCCCGCCTGCGGCGCTGAGGGTAGTTATTGTGCCCGCGAAGGCCCAAAAGTAGTTATTGTTACCTATACGGTAATGATGATAATCCAGACTCAATTAACCTGATCCCAGTGATATCTGATTGGGTCAGATAACATCGAAAATAAGAGGATACATCAAATCTTTGAGTATTGTGTGTCGGCAGACATAGCAACCGGGAGTGGTGTTAGAATGTACAAGGTTCAAACCAGCGCAGGAACCAAAATTGCAATAAACGTTGATGTTACTATGAAAAACAAGGACTTCTGTGGGGCTCGAACCCGGCGCACAGTGGTGTTCAACCGTCGACTTTACCGTTGCACTAACGAGACCATTTACGATGACAAGCAATAAAACATCAGTTGGTTAAGACTCTGTTGTTCCCCCCTTCAGATTATGTGTGCGACGAACTCAAAGGTATGGAGAGCTTTCTCTCTTGGCTCTTACTTTGGAAGTGACTAGCTGTTTTCGCTCCCGTCGTTATCCGGACGTGAACCTCTTGCGGAGGCCGAATTAAATTCCAAACTGAGGTCTCTTACTACGAATTACTTTTTCTGCTCTATTTTAAGTCTAATCATTTCGTCCAATGAAAATGCGCCAACAATGCACATCTTTCAACCGCACGACGAATGGCAGCCTGCTGCACAAAATGGAGACTAACGGCCTTACCGATCATGAGACCATGAGCCGACCTCTAAAAAGGCTCATAGGTCTTTCTGCAGCGCCATGCAGAACATTTCCCCCTAAATGGAGTGTCCGAGGGTCTTCTCGAGTTCCGCGGCCATTTTCTTCACTTCTTCTTGGTATTCATGTTGGTGAACCCAGCGGGGGAAAACGATGGGGATGTCTTCATAGAGGGAGCGCACGGGCTCCCATGAGGCTTCGTCTTCATCGAGGCCAAGCCAGTAGACGAAGGCTCGGTATTCGCCGTTTTCTTCGCGGACGTCGCCGAGCTTGGCCACATGGAACCCTTCATTGCCAAAGGCAATATGGTCGGCTAGGTCTTCGGTCACATCGCGGCCGCCTTCGCAATACATCTTGAGTCGGCAGGCGTGGTGGAGGGACACGTCGTAAGGCTGAACCAATTGCTGGGTCTCCTTGACATAGTCAGTCACGATCCGGACGATCTTGCTTGGGCCGCGCCAGTGCAGGGACAACTTGTTGCCTTGGCGGGACACTTGGCCAACGAGGACAAAGTCGCCTATCGCTAACTTCTGCAACTGGATGGCATTGGACTTAGCTTGGCTGTCGCGGGCTTGGCGTCGCATCGTGGCGTTTGTCGCAGCTACTTCACGGTGCAGCTGTTGCATCGCTTCATGCAGCTCGTCCATGTGCTTCTTGCGCGTGGAGTCGAGCCAGTCGATGTCGGCGACTTCCTTGGTTAAGGTGTTTACTAGCGCTGACAGGGGTGTCGTCGTAGGTAGGCCAGTAAAGGCGGTCACCGGGGCGATGCCGCTAAGTCGGTCGCTCGGCATGTGGTTCAATGTGCCTTGTACCAGGGCCAGGACGAGGTGCCAGTCGGTCGCGCGCAGCTTCAACTCGCTGGTAAGCGTCTTGACGGCGCGGAGGATCAGTCGGTTGACTACTTCAACGGTTCCGTTCGCCCAAGGACAGCAGGAGGTCGTGAAGTGGTGGTGGGCGCCGGCGGCCTTGCGGATCTTGTCGATGACTTCGTTCTTGAAGTGGAAGCAGCTGTCGGAGACCCAGGTATGGACATACCCAAAGGTCATGAACCAGTCGAGGAGGCCATTGGCGGTAGCCGCGGCGTCGCTTGTCTCACTGGGCCAAAGTCGTACGAACCCGCTCATGTCGTCCTTGATGACGAGGATCGATCTTCTGCCACCCGTTCGTCGACGTGGGCGTGGATAGCCAGTCGAAGTGAATAAGCTCTTTAGGCTTCTCGGCATGGAGCGCCGATCCAAGCGGGCGCGGGACCACTGAGCCGTCGACCCTGAGGCAGTGGATGCAGGCTTGGACAAAGGTCTTGACATCAGCTTCGAGGGTGCTCCAGGCGTAGATATCGCGGATGGCCTTGGTCGTGGCTTCGATCCGGCGATGGCCCGCGGCGCCTTGGTGCGCTATGATGCAGACCGCTGCTGGAGGTCCGTGGCACTTGGTGGGATCCAGATGCGGTTCCTTGTCGAGGAACAGGTTCTTGTCTTCATTCCACGCTACGCGGTTGGCGGGGTCTCTCCCCTCTTCACGGCCACTTGTTGGGTCTTGACGATGCCGGCAGGGCTGGGCCAGTCAAAGTTGGGCTGCTGCAGGGGCGACACCATGGCCAGGAGGCGCCGGACGGACTTCGTTGGCACTTGGGCTTGGGCGGCGCCCCAGCGGCTGAGCAGGTCGCCCCACACATTGTCTTCACCGGGCAGGCACTCGATGGTGTAGGGGAACGAGGAAAGCACCAGGGCCCAGCGCTCCAACTTGTGCGCTTGGTACCTCGCCATGCTTGGGGACTGGCCGGCAGGATTGAAAATGTACTGCAGGTTCTTGTGGTCGGTGAAAAGGCGGAAGCCAGCTGGGCGGATACGAAGGTAGTCCAACCGCTTGCAGCTTTCCACCACGGCAAACGCTTCCTTCTCCACGATTGGCCAACGCTCGCTTGCGCCAGTAAAGGTGCCGCTGAGAAAGGCCAACGGCTGGTGGCGTTGCTCTTCCAACGGCAGCGCCAGGTCTTCAAATGGTACTTGAGTGGCGATCGCGCCCGAAAAACCTTCACTTGCGTCGGTGTAAAGGCAGACCATCATGTCTGCCGTGGGTGCGCCATGGGAACCATCGCCAAGAGAGCTTCCTTGATCTTGTCGAAGCAGGCCAGATGGCCAACGTCCCAGCCAACGGCAGTGAGTTGGACCCGGATGAGCTTCGTCTTCTTCGCACTTCCAATTTGCTTGGTCGCTGCGTCGAGGAGTTGGCGTAGCGGCGCCACAAGCTCGGTGTAGCAGGGGATGCTGGACCGCATCCAGTTGGTCGCGCATACGAACTGTTGGAGGTCGGCGGCCGTGGCAGGCGGCGCGAGCGCACACAGTCCTTGGATTCTTGTGGGGGAGTGTTGGACGCCCTCAGTTGAAACGACTTTGCCGCATCAGACGGCCTTGGTCAGGAAGAAGTCGTATTTCTTCGAGTTGAGCTTCAGGCCGAAGAAGGAGCAGATCTTGAGGACTTGGTCGAGGAGGTCTCGGCGTAGCCAAGCATGTCATCGAGCCAGGCTAGGATTCCCTTGAACAGTAGGTCGGCAAACATGAAGTCCACCGCCGACTGACAGAACGCCACCGCGTCGGTCTAGCCCATAAGCACTCTTGTGGGCGTGTAGACTCCAAATGGTCATGAAGGAGTAGTACATTTGGGAGCCGTCATGGACCCCAGCTGCCAGTAGCCGTTGAACCAGTCGAGGGTGAAAAACGCCCGCGCGCCCACAAAGACAGTCAGGGCGGCGTCGAGGTTCGGAATAGGCCATGGCATAGGCTCCGTGCACGCATTGATGAGCCGGCTGTCGATGGTCATGCGCAAGTCGCCAGGGTCTTTCTTGGGGACGATGCGCGGCGCCGAGGCCCATGTTGCGCGTTGTTTCGGTACACCAGGACAGCTGCTTCGAGCTCGCGCACATGTGTCGTCAGGAACTCTACATGGGCTGGGGGGTATCGTCGCAGGCCACACTTGACAGGGACGGCGCCAGGCTTGATGCGCACCCGCAGCGGCTCCACCTTGATCGGCTCGTCATGGCCGATCTCCAGGCGGAAGACATAACCGTGCTTGGCCAGGAGGAGTCGCAGCTTTTCGAGGAGGTCTGCGGTCAAGCCTTCGTCTTCGGCGGCACGGAGCTTGTCTTGAATCACCGCTTTAACCGCCGCTTGCCGTCTGTTCCGCTCGCCTTCTGCGTCTTCAGCAGATGGGACTTGGATGTTGGGGGTGGCACAGTGCATGCCGTCATCACCGCACTCGTCCCTTGAGGCGGCCACTTGAGTCAGGCGGCTGATACTTGCCATCACAGACGGCTTGTCCGCGTCGCTGACATCCCAGACTTCTTGCTTGGCAAATGCGTGGCTGAGCAACTCGTCTTCAGAGAAGCCCAGCCGTTCCATCACAGCCCGGCTGATCAGGAGTTCTGCCGCGTTGGAGGAAGAGTCCACCCAGGCCTTGAGTCCACGCAGGGCCAAAGGTCCACAGGGAGTGTCCAGGGTGACCAACTTGAACTGCACTTGGCGGTCGACCTTGAGGGCAGGTGCTTGGTCATACGGCTGGATCACGGATGGCTCCGGCGAAATCACCTTGACTTCCACGCAGGCTCGCTCCAGGGACTTCATGACACCGACTGTTACCAATGTAACGTCGGAGCTTGTTCGGGGGCTGGTGCACGCCGGGGAGGTCCACTACTGCTGTCAACGCTGCCTTCAGATCCCAGGCTTAGACGGCCGCGATGGTGCTGCGGCTGCCATCGCAGGCTGTGGTCTTCTCGTCGTCCACCGGGGCATACAAGTGGTACCTGGCGGTATGCACGCGCAGCCAGTCAACGAAACGGTACACGTTGGACTTCAACGGCTTGTTGGGTTGGAGGGCCAGCTGACGCTGGACCGACTGCTGCAGGCCAACCGGCTTGATCGCCTTGACCATGATGTCGACAACTGCCTTGCCTTCTTGGTCCAAGACCCATGCTTGGTCGTCGCGCTCCAAGGCTCGCATCAGGTTGTCCAGCATCTTGCCAATGCGTGAGTCGGCGTCCAGGATGGTCGTATCGAACCGGATCGCCGTCGTCAAACGCTTCTTGAGCACTTCCAGGTCTTGAGGCTCCTCTCCAAACGCCTTGCTAAACCATGCGGCCCACTCTGTCTACGTGACGCCACGGTAGTCGCGGTTGGCCATGTCCCACATCGCCACACGCTTCTTAGTAAAGACGTCCATGCATGCGCTTACAGGCATCACGAAGGGTCTTGAGCCATTGAGCTGGAGGGCGTTGACTTGGTCCAGGCACTTTTTGTACTGGCGGATAAATGTGCGCCGCTCCGATTGGGACGAGCCGTTGAACGAGGGCGGGTCAGGGAGCGCCGGCGCGTTATACACGAAGCCGCGCTCGTCGCCTTGTCCCATGTCGGCGACATCGGGGACAGGGGGCAGGTTGGTGGCGCCAGTTGGTGTCGCAGCCGGCGCGGGAGAATCAAATGGCGCGGCCACGGGGGTCGGTGTGGGCGCCGTAAATGGGGTATTGGCGTAGCCATCTGGTTGAAATCGCTAATCAACAGCTGGTGGGTTACGCCCGGAGTGGAGAGGCGAACGGGGTAGTGGCTTGACGGCGCACTGGATGGCCGTGTTCGGCTTCTCGGGATCGGGATCGCTCCGTCCCGTTAACAGGGGACTACGAGCGTTGGTGGTCAGAGTCACTCATTGCTTCGGGCGATGAGGCTAAACAATTCTTTGTTTTCGCCCCCGTCGTTATCCGGACGCCTGCTGCACAAAATGGAGACTAACGGCCTTACCGATCATGAGGCCATGAGCCGACCTCGAAAAAGGCTCACAGGTCTTTCTGCAGCGCCATGCAGAACTCTAGCCTACGCGTCCCTGTGATCTTCCCGCGATCTTTCCGGTAGTGCTAACCGGTCTTCTCTTCAGAATGTATGCAACATGTAACCCCTCAGAAACCACAACAGCCTCCCATGCCCATGAATGCCATCGCGGCCTTCAACTTATCCTTGGGCACGTGCTTGGTGAAGACGTCCGCAGGCATGACATTGGTGGGCAGGTGCGTCAGTGTGAACTTGCGGCTCTTGACTAAGTCCCACAGAAAGTAGAAGTGTAGTGCTAGGTGCTTGGTCCGCTGGACACTGGCTTGGTTCGAGCCGATCGCGCTCTGGTTGTCGAGGTACTACCTCTGTCCCACCTCCTTTGTCGTGATTCAAAATATCAAAATCCCAGTTCGAGTGTCGTGATTTCATTCTATTGGACAAGAGAAGCCGTAAAGACACATAATTGGACAAAATTATATTTACTCCAGGCTACCAAGCAAACCTAAGCGCACAGAAAGGTATGCATCTGCGCTCCACTTGATGGACTGCTCTAACTCTCCTGGTCTACGTTTTGCTTCCTTTCCTATATGCTTAAGCTTAAACCTGTTGCTG